TTCTTGGGTGTTGGTCTCCCATTCTGTTACTTTATATTCCATAAATGGTGCAATCTTTCTATATTTGTCCCTCTCTTTCTGACTCATTTCACTTAACATGAAACTTTCCATGCTAACCCACTTATCTGCAAATTTCGTGACTTCATCTTTTCTAACAGCTGCATTGTATTCCATTGTATAGATGTACCAAAGTTTCTTTAACCAGTCATCTGTTCTCAGGCACTCAGGTTTTTTTTTCCAAATTCTGGCTATTGTAAACAGTGAAGCAATCAATGAACATATGAATGCAGATGTCATTTCTACTATACTTTTTTGCATCTTCGGGATATATTCCCAGAAGTGGTTTTGCTGAGTCAAATGCAAGCTCAATTTCTAATTTTTTGAGAATTGTCCATACTGTTTTCCAAAAGGGCTGAACCAGTTGGCATTCCCACCAGCAATGAAGGAGAATCCCTTTCTCCCCACATCCGCGCCAAAACCAGTTGCTTTTTTTCTTTTTGGTTGTGGGCCAGTCTCTGTGGTATGAGATGATATCTCATTGTTGTTTTGACCAGCATCTCCCTGATGATTAGTGATAAAGAACATTTTTTCATGTGCCTTCTGGCCATTCAGATTTCTTCTTTGAGAAAGTTTCTGTTCATTTCATTGCCCCGTTTTCTGATGAGGTTGGATGTTTTCTTTTTGTAGAGTTCAACCAGTGCCTTGTAAATCCTTGATATCAACCCCTTATCAGATGTGTGAGATAACTTATTTTTTAAAAAAACAAAAGATTATTCTTATCCTGTTGTTTTTTGTTACAATTAGTTTTATGAATTTCTAAACAGAATTTGTGAAAGCAAATTTTTTTTTATTAGTGAATCACTTAATGCTGAGTCAAATACCCTTTTCCATTATTTGTACTAGTATTTCGGTGAGTGAATTTGAGAGGCTTTTTTTTTAAAGTTTTGGGGCCATACCCAATGATGCTAAGGGCTTACACCCTGGCTCTGCACTCAAGGATCACTCCTGGCTCGCTTTAGGGGACCCTATGGGATGGTGAGATCAAACCTGGGTCAGCCACTTGCAAGGCATATACCCTGCATGCTATACTATTGCTCTGGCCCCTTGAGAGAGCATTTTTATTGAAATTTTTTTTTTCTTTTCAGATCACACCTGGTGATGCACAGGGATTACTCTTGGCTCTGCACTCAGGAGTCACTCCTGGCGGTGCTCAGGGAACCATATGGGATGCTGAGAATCGCACCCAGATTGGCCGCATGCAAGGCAAATGCCCTACCTGCTGTGCTACCACTCCAGTCCCTGAAATAAATTTTTTATTGAATATTTTATTGAAAAATATTCTGATTATAATATGGTACTTTGCACCTTAGAATAGCAAATTTGTTAACAATAAAACTTATAACTCATGAAGAATAAAATTGCATATGCCCAAATACAAGTTTTTATATTTTGTACAGATTTCTGACTTTACCTCTTATGTGTATGTAATTTTTTTCTTTTTGGGTCACACCCAGCGATGCACAGGGGTTACTCCTGGCTCATGCACTCAGGAATTACTCCTGGTGGTGCTCGGGAGACCATATGGGATGCTGGGAATAGAACCTGGGTCGGCCGTGTGCAAGGCAAATGCCCTCCCCACTGAGCTATCACTCCAGTCTCGTGTGTGTAATTTTTAATTGGCTTTTTTGTTGTTGTTGGGGGTGTAAAGGACTGAACCCAGAACCTGAGACCATGAGCCATATTTTGTCATTGAGCCACAAACCAAACCCTTACTTTGGCAATTAAAACATGAATGTGTGTGTGTGTGTACAAGCATATGTTATATATCCATATTCATGTATTTTAGCAGCTATTTTCTAGTAATGGGTTGTTTGGATCTTTTGTCTGATTATTTAATATGCAAAGCCTGGCAAGCTACCCATTAAGTATTTGATATGCCAAACACAGTAACAGGTGTCACAATGGAGATGTTACTGGGCCCACTCAAGCAAATGGATGAACAACGGGAGGACAGTGACAGTGAATCACTGTGAGGTACAGTTACAGACTTACAAACTTTTGTGTTTGCATTTCACTCATACAATGATCGAGTACCCATCCCTCCACCAGTGCCCATTTTCCACCACCAATGATCCCAGTATCCCTCTCACCGCTCCCACCTTATTCCCCCCCACCCCAACCCACCTCTGTGACAGGGCATTCATTCCCTTTTGTTCTCTCTCTCCTTTTGAGTGTTGTGGTTTGCAATAGAGGTATTGAGTGGCCATCATGTTCAGTCTATAGTCTGCTTTCGACACGCATCTCCCAATCCGAGCGGGTCCTCCCAACACCCTTTACTTGGTGTTCCCTTCTCTATTTGAGATACCTGTTCCCCCAGCATGTGAGGCCAGCTTCCAAGCCATGGGGTAAACCTCCTGGTCCTTATCTCTACTATTCTTCAGTGTTAGTCTCCTATTCTGTTAGTTTATATTCCACAGGTAAGTGCAATCTTTCTATGTCTGCCACTCTCTTTCTGATTCATTTCACTTAACATGATACTTTCCATGTTGATCCACGTATATGCAAATTTCATGACTTCATCTTTTCTAACAGCTGCATAGTATTCCACTGTGTAGATGTACCAAAGTTTCTTTAACCAGTCATCTGTTCTTGGGCATTTTTGTCCCAGATTCTGGCTATTGTAAACAGTGCTGCAATGAATGTACAAGTGCAGATGTCATTTCTACTATACGTTTTTGCCTCTCCAGTATGTATTTCCAGAAGTGTTATTACTGGGTCAAATGGGAGCTCAATTTCTAATTTTTTGAGAAGTGTCCATACTGTCTTCCAAAATGGCTGAACCAGACGGCATTCCCACTAGCAATGAAGGAGAATTCCTTTCTCTCCACATCTGTGCCAACACCAGTTGCTTTTGTTCTTTTAGATGCTGGCGAGTCTCTGTGGTGTGAAATGATATCTCACTGTTGTTTTGATCTGCATCTCCCTGATGATTAGTGATGAAGAACATTTTGAAAGCCAATTCTTAATTTAAGAATTCGGTAGAAAAATTTTTGTTAAAACCACTTATGTTTATAAATTAATTTTTGTATGTATCTTTGCGCCAATGTTTAGGATAGCATTGGTTTCATAGCCTCAGGTAATTTAGGTTTATTTTGGTTACTCCCATCACAGTGCTCCTATTCCTCTGTGTTTATTTGTAACTTTTTTTTGTGCTCTGTTGACTTGTAAATATTGTTTTTCTCCTCTCCTTAAGTCCTTTGCATAGTTTATTCAGAACAATGTCCTTTTTGTATGGACACAAGAAGACAGTAAGTGCTAAGCCTTGTGAAAGTTTATTGACTCTCAGTGATATTTTCCTCCTGGGCCTCTGTTTTCTAAACCTAAACCTCAGCTGCCCTTACTTCTTAGCACCTCCAAAGGCAGGGTCCCGATGAGGTTACTGAATGGAACCAGGGCAAGCGGTGAGCTATGTGCTACCCTGGCATCGAAATGGATCTGGCCAAAGTGCCTAATGCCTAACTATAAGTTAAGAGCTTGGTCATGGACAAATGCTGTCATGATCCAAAAAGTAATAACTAAATTTGGGCCCTGCCTGAGCACTGTAGTCTGAGTCTGGCAAGATGTTCCCAGGAGAGCTGCCCTATAAGCCTCAATGTATCTCTTACTGTGTCTATACAAAATAACTAATATTAAGATGTTGGTTGGGCTGAGGAAAGAAGAAAATCACCTTAAGAGGTATTTTGCCCCTGGGCAGTCAGGAAGGGCTTTGGAATACCCCTAGATGATGTTTCTACCCTTGAGCCTGGCAGTCAGGAAGGGCTTTCTTATGTTGATTTGGCTTCCTGATTGGGTGCGGTGTCAGCCCAGAGGGCTGGGGAGTTGGAGAGACTAGAGGGCTGGAGAGAGATTTGAGAGAGCAGGGCTCGGAGATGGAATGCAGAAAGACTAGCAAGGGAGACAGAGGGAGAAGAATGTAGAATACAGGAGCAGGCACATAGAGAGAGAGAGTCCAGGTTGCGAGATGGAGTGCAGAGAGATGAGTGGGAGAGACAGGAGGAGTCGGGAACGAGGGGCAGTGTGAGACTAGAATGGGAGGCACAGAGAGACTGGGGCAGGCACGTGGGGAGAATGGAATAAACGGCATCTGATCAATCAACCCGCTTGGCCCTCCTTTAGTCCACCATCTGCCCCACGACTTGGGCTGCCCCGGCTGGGAGAACGTTCCTCGCCCCCCCAAGGCTGGGTGAGCAGCCCAGGGCCCCCCAGAACCCAGGCGGCTAGGGAAAGAGCCATCGGGGCCTCTCCCTGGAGATATTATACACCAACAGAAACATATTCTGCTTTTAATATTTATAGCAAAGGCCATTAGAAAGTGTTAAAAAAAAAAAAGGAATGAGTCTTGGCAAATCCTTCATCCAACTGTTCAAAACTTGTGATGGCATGGCCCTTACTACAAGGACCATCACCATCAAAGGCCCATGACCTGCTTCAAAACTTAGCTTTCAACAATTGCCCATGACAAATGTTGCTTCTATTACTCAAGAAAGCAACTACTGAAGATGATGGGGAAGTGACCCAACTTACAATTGACATGATGCAGCTAAAAAGTCTTTAAAAACCACAGGGGAGATGAATTATATTTAAAATTACCAAAATAGTTTTAAAATTAGAACACAATCTATGTGTTTCTTTATAGCACAGCGAATCAAAAGATCCTTCATCCATTATTTGTTGAACTCTGACCATACTGGAATATGACAGGCAACGGAGATACAAAACCTGTGAACAAAACGAGGACCTGCTCTCTAAGTTCACAGAGTGTCATTAACTGCTCTCATTGCTATTTTTGTCTTCCTGACTAGGCAGGAAGAATTTGAAAACAGGGAAAGTCTTGCACTTTTTTGTAGTTTTCACTGCGAGTGTTCCAAACGCCCTCTAAAGAGAAAACTACAGTTTCAATTGTTTTCCACGTCTCCTTTCCAATTAAGAGATTCCCTTACCTGATACTGTCGAACTGAAGTGGGGAGAGGGAAGCCTCTTCGACGTACCCTTGAGAAAACTCCTTTTGGGGCTGTAAAAGTTTGAATCTCCTTGGAAAAATACAAGTGCTGAGAGTTCAAACCGCAGATCCCCGAAGGCTGTTGCTAAGACGCACTTGTTGCTAAGAGAGCCAAGGTCGCTGCTGAGATTGACAAGCATCTTCACCAATAGTATTCAGGTCCTCGTGGTCGAAGTCATAGAAATATGGTGATTGGGCGATTAGGATACTGACGTCATACAACTGGAAACCGGGCGAGGTCCTTTTCTACTAACTAGGAACAAGTTTTGCAATTTAAGTTTTTTCTAGATGGAGGTCCGTCCTGAGGACAGTTTGGACAGACTCCTTTAGTGCCCCGCGCAAAGTTCAACTGTGCCTAGTGGAAAATCCTTCTAGAGCGTGATCTCCAGGTTCTGCGAGTGAAAGATGCTCTCTAAATTCCCGGCTTAAATCCCTTAGCTCAGCGGCCCTGGTTACCCCTGTGGTCTATAATCAGCTCCAGGGCCGGGTCCTGGGAAGAGAAAGTCGTTCCAATTGGGTGTCCTGGGTGTCCCGGCCTATTAAGTGTGACTTTACCCTCTTGTCAAAATAATTTTCATATTAAGGTTTAGGATCGAGTCGGAATGAAGTCTCAGGGGAAGAAGATTGAATCCCAGAGTAACTTCAAGGTTAATTTTATCTATTACCGTGGGACATATGGGATTCACACTGTGAAGTTCATCTCTCTAAACAATTTCCCTCTTACTTAAAAAAGAATCATAACTGCCTAATTTGTAAGACAATAGAATTTAATAAAGTAATGTAATCAACTGCTGTAATTGGTCTAAACTTTTTTACACCCAAATAAAAATTAAAATATCTAATTAAAGTTTATAAATTTATATCACATTTGAGATTTATCTGAAATAATATAAGACTTGACTTGGAAGATTATGTAGGTTCTTTCAATTTTCTGATGAATTTATGTTAGCAAAATACAAATAAATATTTAAAAATCTTTAAAAAAAAAAACGGGGCTGGAGCGATAGCACAGCGGGTAGGGCGTTTGCCTTGCACATGGCCCACCCGGGTTCGATTCCCAGCATCCCACATGGTCCGCTGAGTACTGCCAGGAGTGATTCCTGAGTGCAGAGCCAGGAGTAATCCCTGAACATTGCTGGGTGTGACCCAAAAAGCAAAAAGCAAAAAAACAAACAACAACAACAACAACAAAAACACAGGCAGATTTACCACTGTGACAATTTTTTCTGACTTCTACCCTCCCTGACACAGATTTGCTTTCTTCTAGGCTTAGTCCTGAGTTTTTCCTCACTCTTTAGCATTTTTTCTGTGACATCTGAGCTATCCTGTTTTGCTCCAATGATCCCTCTAGATTTGTCATGACTTCATTTTGTACTTCCTGCCTTACACATCTCTTAAATTTTGGTTTGACACTCTATTCCTAATGGATACTTCCGAATTTATATCTAGAGTAATGTTCAATGGTTGCTAAATAAACTTAACAAGTGAATAGATCACTGAATTAATTGCTATACCAGAGACATCACAATTTAGCAGAGTCAAGTTAGCTAAGGAGCAGAGAGATGGTATCAGGATTAAGGTGCTTGCCTTCAATGTGACCAAACTGGATTGGGTCTGAGTAGAACATGGTCCCCTGAGAACTGCAGGATATGGATTACTCTCCTAAAAATAGTCTGTCAGATAGCCTTCATAAATTTTTTCCTTCTTTGTTTTTTTACCTTGGATAAGAATCTCACTATCCACCCTTTTCGCCAAGCTTAAAATCTGATAGTCTGACTCCACCTCTCACATCCAACTTCAACATTAAAAGTTCAGTTATTATTCTTTTCTATGTATCTTTCAAATTATCTATCTCTTAGCTATTCTGCCTCTGTCTCCTCATAATTGATCAGGTTGCCATAGTTGTTCTCACTGGGTTCATCCTAGCAAAATTGCCTGAGTAGACTCAATCCGATATGAAATTCCACATAAACAGGATTCTGCAAGATCCTTGAAAAATAATTGCAAGATAATGAATTTTTTTAACCTCATTTCCTACATATCTTACCAGCTAATTTTAGTCTTGCGTGTCACAACCATAGCCTCTAGAAACTCAAGAGTATAAAACCCTGGAGACTGGGATTAGTAATAAGTTAACAACATGAAGTGGTCTAGCTTGAAACAGACTTGCAGCTGAGATATTTATTTTATATAAAGAGCTCCTGGAGATTTTGTATTATTCTCTACAGTGTATCTTTTTCATTTAAAAAAAAAGTGTCTGAATGTGTCAGTATCTTAACACTGGAAAAATTTCTTAAATCACTTTAAATAATTTAACATACACTAAAAATATTTGAATAAACTGAAAAATAAAAACCTGTAACTCAGGTTATGCAAAACTGTTGTCTTAATTTTCTTTTTTAAAATTTATTTCTTTTTTTCTTTTTGCAGTGAGAGCATTGAACCCAGGCATCATGCATACACGCAGACACTTTACATTGAGTTATATCCCCATCCTATCCAGAATGCTTGAAGGTTTTTCCATGATACCATGCCCGTGTATAAGAAGCATCTTTTAATCCCACTGCCACAGTTTCAACCTTTATTCAGTAAAGTCATGTGTTTTTCAAGATCCAATTCAAATATCACCTTCTCTGTAAAACCTTCAGACAACCAGCAGAATTAATCATTTTTTCTCTGTTATACACAGTAGTAAATATATTTTGTTCCAAGGACCTTCTTATAGCAATGTTTCTACCCCACTGAACTTTAGAGAAAGGATGGTATCTTATTTCTTTATTAATTCCACTGGTTAATTCAGTATCTGCTTAAATATTTAAATACACGTGGAATCACATGATTTTAACTATTCTTGAAATCAAATTTAGAAGAAGCTCTCTAAAAGACCTCTTTGTACTCTTCCAAAGAATTTCCTTTTCTTACAAAAAAAATCATAACTCTTTGCAGGAAGGATTTAAGAACAGAGCAGTAATAATCTTATGATTTAAGTGAGATACCAAGCCTTTTCTATCCTCTTTGGAGACACCCCAAGGGGATGTCCCTTTGGAGATATGAATCATGTGTCACATGGTTAAAAAAATAAGACATTAAATGGAAAATATTTAGCAATTTCTTCCTGTTATAAATTTATGATTGACTGAACATCTGTGTTTTCGTGGGAGTGGTCAGAAATGAGATATTCCCATCACAGCTATCTGACACTTCAGTGTTTCTCCATACAATACAGAATTAAATTTTCCTGAAACCTGAAATTGCTTAAAAGTTAGTTTTGAATGAAAAAGTTACCAGTTGGGTGAAAAATGTAATGAGTCAAGAAATAATAACTGAAAATAGTTCTCCTTATTTCTGGACAACTTGATAAGATTTACATTGCATTTGAAGAAGGGTAATCAAATAAATATGACTTTTTACTAAGAATGTTTTGCATAAGGGGGGCCCAAACAATTATGTGGGTGTCTAGGGATAATGCTTGGCCAACTGGCCACAGAGGTCAGTACTCAGACAATGCAGCAGTTCTCAGGACGTTGTGCCAGAGTCCACCAGGACAACCCCAACTGTGCTTGGGGGTACCCAGGACTATCCCTGGAGGTTTTGATGGGGATATGGGATAGTGGGGTTCCACCTTTGGTCCCAGATCATGCAAAGCTATCTTTTTTTGAATGCTGAGTTTTTTTTTTTTTCATTTTCTTTGCGACCACACCCAACTGTGATCAGGAATGACTCAGGAGTTGCTCCCAGTGGTGCTGGGGGCCATGTAGTACTGGGGATTGAACCCAGACCTCCTCAGCGCAAAGCTTGTGCTCCAGCCCTTTGAGATATCTCCTACCCCCTCCAATCCACCCACCAAGAATTTGTTTTTTCAAGAGTGCAGATACCAGTATTTGAAGACCTTGAATAGGAATCTTTATGTCTTGTCTGCTTGAGTATGCCCGGGAGGAAGGGAGAAAGAGAGAGAAGGAAGTATTCCTGACATGAACTTTAACTTCTGGGATTCTGAAACAGTTGCAAAACGTTTGAGGAAAGTATGGAAACAGATTGAATAATTGGAAAGTGCATCAGAAGAGCACTCCATGTCAGAAATGAGAAAACTGGGGGCTGGGGAAAGCTCAGCAGTAGAATGCATGCCTTCTGTATGAGCCGTGGGTTTGACTAAAGTGATAAAATTAATTTATTAGTGGAGTAACAGATATTAAAAAGTCTAGAGTAGAAAAAATGTGACTTGGGAACAAAAAACCTTAGCTGTTGAAAAGAGAACCCATAATCAGGGCTGGAAACATAGTAGAGTGGGTAGGGAGTTTGCCTTGCTTGCTAATGACCCAGGTTTAACTCAGTGAAACATACAGTGACAGGCATGGAGCCCTGCCAGAAATGATCCCTGAGCACAGAGTCAGAAGTAGGCTCTCAACACTACTGGGAGTGACCCAAGAACCAAAAATGTAGGGGGGAACAGAGGGATCAGTTATGAGAATTCTAGAAGTGGAGTAGAGTCTATAAGAAAGCAAAGTAACTGAAACATTAAAATGGACACAAAATTTATTCTTAGAAATTCTGCTCAGAATGACTTGAATTTCCTCCTGACTGAAGGGGACACAGTCCCCTCACCACCCCCCAAGAATTGCTGGTCCTTCCCACAAGAAGAGGTGGATTGCACAGATGGTCTGATGGCTGTGTACAGAGGATGTCACCAGCAGAGTCAGTACAGGAGCTAAACAAGTAGCTTCAGGGCATCGTAGTAGCAGAGTGGATTTAACTATGAGTATAGGTGAGACCCAAGAGCCAGAAACAATTGGTAGTGGGGTATATTGCATGGTGGTGATCAACGTACAAAATCAACAGGTATTACCAAGGGCACGGGAATATCAGTACTACATACAATTTTTTTCGAGGAGCCGCATATCTGGCGATGCTCTGGGGTTATTTCTGGCTCTACAATCAGGAATTACTCCTAGAGGTGCTCAGGGGACCACATGGGATGACAGGGATCAAACCCACGTAGGACATATGTGAGGCAAACGGCCTACCTCTTGTATTATAGCTCTGGCCTCCTACATGTAATTATTTTTCTATTCGAGCCTTTTAATTATTAAAGTAGAATCATTCCAATAACACTTAAAGGCATACAATTACATTGAAGTAAAAA